TTTGTGCAATGCAACTCAAGAAGTGGGGAGAAACACTTGAAACACTTGACTAAGTCTTGAGTTTCCCCCTACACTTCTTTCATGCTCTAGCTGCTTCCTGCATGCTTCATAACAAAACAGAGCACAGTCAAGGCTTCTCTATTTGTTAAGTAGACAACCAATGCATTAAATGGGATATGTTAACCTGTAGTTTGGGCACTGTGCTGAACTTCCATTTTTTGGTAAAAATGTAAAAATTGCTATAAAAAGTTACTGATTGTTCTCCACTGTAATTGATAGGAAGCAGAGCATGTGGTGCTAAAAGCCAAAAAATCACACATTGTTTTGGGTCACAAACTTTTATGTTTGATGTGAGGAAATTTAAGTAATTCAATATGCAGACAATGTCTGCTGTGATTGTCTCCTGTGACTTTTAATATATAGTTTCCAGGCTTAGTCTCTTGACTAAATCATAATCTGTTGATTTTACTGTACCTGTCAAGAACAATAAGCAAGCTATCTTACTAGCTATCTCTCATGTGGCTTACAAGCATGAAATTTGGCACACAATTTGCTTATACCCTGCCAAATGATATAAGAAGGGGTGCCCATGTCAATCTCCTCACGCTTCCGTTTTAAAGAGATCTTTAGTATGCGGAATTCCAAACCGACTACAAGACTGCCGCTCATGCTTCGCTCGACCATCCAAGATGGCGGCGTCCTTGCCGATCATTTCATCAAAGAAAATGTCTTTAGAAAATTATCTTTAGAACATAAAATAAATATATTTTTTATCTATTAGCATGGTTTTAAGCCTGGTTTGAGTGGAAGTTATCCTACTTAAAATGCTCCTGTTTGAGTTCGACTAGTTCATCGTGAAAGTAAAATATCTGTGAGTACCTTACGCAAGAAATCTTTTAATTTGTATTTCATGCCGTTGGACAGGTTGTTTCAATCCTTTTTATTGTTTTAAAGCAGTGACTGGTTGTTTTAATTTAGACAGTTGGCCATTTTGGTGCTTTGTTCTTTTATCTCTGTAGGTATAACAAATAGTTAATTGTTAGAATTATATGGAGAAAAACAGTAATTTTGATTAAAGTAATAAGAACTGTGTTACCTTGTAGAAATTTTGAAATAGCATTTGTCCTCTAGGAGCTTTAACTGTAACGTCACTTGATTGGAAAAAGTGCATCATTTGTCAGGAGTCCACGAGAGAAGCATTAAAGTGTCCCCTAAACAGCAATGGATCACCTGAAGATAACCGGCAAACGTATTTGACTTTCTTTCAAAATGTGAATAGCATTCGGGAAGCAAATGCTTTACCCACGGAGCTTAAATTTGGCGACGATGTTGATGTAGACTGCCTTTGTCAAGGTTCTTGGCACAAGTCCTGTAACCTCAAGTTTAGCCTTTCAAAGCTTAAGAAAGCTCAAGAGCGTGCAGGCCGAAAACGAGGTGAAGACAGCAGAGCAGACGAGGAGGGAAGACCCGCATCGAAACGCAGGAAACGCCAGTCTAACTCTGAAGAGCAGTCACAATGTTTATTATGTTCAGGTGGAGGCGACAGCGATAAGCTTCAATGTCTCTCGATGCTGGAAACTGATAAGAGCGTCCGTCAAATAACCCTTGAACTGGAGGATTTTGAATTGTTACAATATACAGGTCGTATATCAGCGGAAGAATTAATTGCTATTGAAGCAAAATACCATCTGAAATGCCCAATCTCTTTTAAAAATCGGTACAGATCACTCTGTACGCAGAAAGTGCAATGTTCAAGTGATAGAGTGGACGATGAAAAAATGGACGAGTCAATCGCATTTGTCGAGCTGGTTGAGTACATTGAAGGATGTGTGGAAAACGGAACTCATCTGTTTAAACTTTCTGAGCTGTCGTCGTTGTACATCCAGAGGCTTAAAGATCTTGGTATTAAAAAGAACACAAATAATACCAGGTTAAAGAATTCTTTGTTGGAACATTACAATGGGAGAACAAACTGATGGAAGAAACACTCGCTTAGTTTTTAACGAGGCAATAAGTACTTTACAGAAGACGCTGAAATTCTAGCGAGGGCTGCAACGATTGTAAGGAAAGACATTTTTGCTCACAAAGGATTTTATTTTTCTGGATTTTTTCCAATGGACTGCCAATCGTAATATTTACCATCTAGCTTGAGGTCTCTGATTTCTATCATTCTAAATGGACTTAACATAAGGGATCTAGTGCAGTCAGAAAACCAAGCATGTCTAACAGTCTGCGAAACGATTATCTTCAACACTAAGAAGAGGTCCTACAAGACCAAAACTGGTCAAACTCGCCACTCGGCATCTCGTGAGCCACCTCTATCTCTTGGCCTAAGCATAGCATAGCTCGACCAGAAGTAAAACACTCATGGAAAAGATGTATCAAATGGGGATTTCTGTTTCTTACGATCGCATCATGGAAATAGAAGACTGGCTAATGTCGTCTCTTTGCGAGTGCTACAAGGAAGATGGATGTGTATCGCCTGCTTGTTTAAGAAAAGGAATATTTTCAGTAGGTGTGCTTGACAACCTTGATCATAATCCCAGCTCTACGACATCAGTCTCCTCATGTCACGGAACTGGTATCAGCATCCTTTAGTGAAGTGATAAAAACAAGATAAAATTGCAAAAATTGCGAAAAATCGTTTTAAATAGTGGTAAAATGACTCTGTTGAAAATCGTACCACAGGTAGTCCAACTCTCATTTGTGATGTCTTGGGCTTTATCTCGTAGCTCTCGTCCTAAGTGCTGTGCTTCTTGCGCTGTAGATTCTACTTTCCCTCCGAGCTCATCTTTGATGTCTTGGGCTTTACCTCGAAGCTCTTGTTCCATGTGCTGTACTTCATGCGCTGTAGATTCTACTTTCCCTCCGAGCTCATCTTTAATATCTTGAGCTTCTTCTCAAACTTCTTGTCTTAAGTATGGAGCTTCTTTGTCCAATTGCTTCACTGAAGATTCTATTTTTTTGTTGATGTTTTCGTTTTCTTTCAAACCACTTTGTTGTTCCTTTCGAAAGTAACGTGATATTGTTTGGTTTATTGTTCTAGCAACAAATGTTTAATCTCCTAAGGTCAGCCAGCGGGCACGCCTAACCACATCTGTTAATAGTAAATATATAAGCATGTTATTTAGAGTTGTGACGATAGGTTTTCGCGCACTAAACTGGACTTCGCGGGAAACGTACAATAAAGGGGAAAATAACTCGGTAGAAAACGGAAACTCGTCACGATTTCCTGGCACACGGAAATCTACTTCAAGTGAGCTTTAACGGACGTCAAAGATAAGACAGCGGTTTGGTTCCACAGTAGAGTTATTCGTAGAGCACTGTAACATTCTTCATGTCAAAGTCAAAGCTAAACTAGTAATCAGCACACAGTCGCTATGTAATGGAAAGAGCTTTACAAAGTAATTGCTTAAAAATGAGCTGGTGAGAGGTTCCATTGTTCTCTAAATTTACCACATTTGAACAGTAAAACAAAAGAAGCGGAAAAAGTCTCTTTGAAGTAAACGATTTCTACATTTATTACACCCATTTTGAAATCACAAGTAGTCCTTGTAATCTGATTAGCTCTAATTGGTGCGAGTTATTCACGAATCGCACCATTTTTTGCTTTAAATCGCATCTTTTTCCCAGTCAATTAGAAGGCTACACTAAAAACAAAACAACCAATCAGATTTCAAAGCTTGTTTAAAGTAACCAATCAAATTGCAGGAAAATGAAAAATGAAGAGTATCATATGGCAAATTTTGAAAATGGATTCAATTTCAAACAGGCTCAGTACTGCATCAATAAAATATTTGAACTGCCCAAGTCCTGTATTTGGGCGATTTCAAAATGGATGTAATAAAGTGGTAATTGAACCTCGTGTCGTGCAATTTTGGTCTGAAATCATACTTGTGATTTTGAAATCACGCGTATGATGTCAGTAAATGACCCCTCACAGACCTCTCACACGCGTATGTGTCAGTAAAGACAGAGTTAACAGTAAAAGACAAGCTGCTCATTGGTGACCCAACGGAGTACAAAATGTCTAATACCCTTTATAAAGCTTCCCTTGCGGGCTAGTCTCCCTAACTGGAGCCTGCGGTTATTTTAAGTAAGGCTATCACTGAGAAGAGAAAAAGAAAATTCGAGCATTTATCACCAAATTTGTTCAAGATGGAATCTCCTTTGGGAGAGTATTGTTTCCATCTTCCAGATAAACGCGAAAAGCTCTCTCCACGGCAGCGACTCCGAAAAACGACTGCAAAACTTTCACCACTACTAGCTTAGTTGAGCTTGCAAAATCTTCGTAATTCTCCCGCACGAACTCCACCATCCGTGAAAGTTCGAAGTCAACAGCTACCACCTCTTCGTGCTCATTCTTATCTTTAGGGCCCATCGTGAACCGAGAACCGAGCTGCTCGAACGTTAATCGCCTCTTGGGAGCCACTCGTTCATCCGACAGGTCCACGTAACCACAGCAACCCCATTCATGCGTGTCGAACTTGAGGTACACGGTTGTGAGGCAAAGAGCCTTAATGTCGCTGCCTTTCAACTCTACTCGCAGCTCTTCTTCCAGTCCTCGCGCGGCGGTCTGAATCAGATCCACGTAAGACTTGTCGTTTTTATAGACGTAGTCCTTGGTTGAGGCACTTTCCACAGCCCCACAGGTAAACTTGCCTGGGGTTGCCATTCCCTCTGAAAAATAACGAGGAAAAAAATAAACAAAAACGGGAGAACGGGCCTTAGATGAAACAAAGCTGATGTGTGTCAAAAAATCTAAAGGCCTCAGTTTTTAGTTTTGTTAGTTTGCTTTGTTCGTGTTGGTGTTGTGCTGTTGAATTCAAATATTCATATTCAGTGCTAAGAGACACAGGATTGTATAAAGGGGCCACACGTTAATGGCAGGTCAACTTCGATAAACAAATTTGTTTGTTGTGGTGGCTTGTTGTTCAGCTGATGATGATTGAAATGACAACTGCTACTTAATCAACATTAAATAGTTTTAAAGGGAACTGACTAATTTAGCGGTGGAATAGGCTCGTGGTTTAAAAAAAACAATCTTGTTACCTGCAGCTGGGAACCCTGTTCGCCAGATTTTCCCGCCCTATGGATGTAATGGCGGTCGTTTGGTTGTTTTGTTATCGATACGAACATTCTGGTCCGTACGTAAAAATCTATTTGGGAGTCTTTTAACGGAGATGTATCAGGGTCAGATATCACTGAAAATTGTGGCTTTATGAAATTTAACCATTATTTCATTTTCCTTTAAATCAAATTCTAAACTCGTAAACAGTTACAGAACTCTTAATAAAATGCCAAAAAGGGTGTTTGAACAAAATAGATACCTCGATTAGACCTTCTAGCGAAGATAAATTTCTGAGGTTTGTCTGCAGTCAGGACAGCAACATGGAGGCCAAAAGATGTGCTGAACACCGGATGGA